GTTTTTCACCGTAACTTTATATGTTTGTCATTCGATATTATTAAGACCCCCCCCCCCCCTTTCCCCTAAATCGGTTACTTAGTTAGTATATCCAGTACATTTTAATTAACATTTAAAAAGAAGTTAATGTGTTTTGTAGTACAAAAATTTCAGTCTCAAAACAAACTTGCATCTAAATAAAGTCATTTAACAATAGTAGTTCAAAATATACATGTGCCGGCGGTAATATTTTAAATTGGCAGGGAGTATGTTTCAAATTCAAGCGGCTTAATTATTCCAAGTATTTATTCCCAATATATTTTATTCATTTATTTATTTATTTATTTTTAGAAATGTTGGAATCAGATCTAGAAATGATAAGAAAAATGTTAGAACATCTTGGAAATACTAACACTTTGCCTTCGGTGTGACGAGACTTTCACACCTGCACAGTGTCGAATGATTTTGATTGACAGGTCAAGCACGTGGACTTCGTGTGAACTTGAAGCAGGAAAATAAAAAAACAATTATGACTGTAAAACAAATGGATTTGTTGATAAAAAATGGTTACTTTCACTGCCTGATATATTAAGAAAAAAAATTAGAATTTTTGTTTGATATAGGTACAAACATTTGAGGAAGGGGGGGGGGGCTAAAACCGAATCTCTCTCTCTCTCATTTGTCTGTTTAATAAAAACTATGACAGCATATTACTTAAATATCAAGTTATGAAAATTTAATATATAACAAATAATATGATTGCCTCTTTGTATCATCTTGTCCGAGTATAATCACGGCCGGGAAATGTCTACAGATAGATGTAGAAGTCTGCTCAATAAATCATCATAAAAAATCAAACTGACACATAAATATATTATTGCATTAAAATTTTAAACTACGAGTGTATTTATGCAATACGTCCACATACCTTTGTCAAAAAAAAAAAATTCTCATTATTTTTCACGGAATCGCCTTGTATGGCTGTTACAACCGTTGTAATTCATTCTATAAGTCCGTAGTTTTCTCTTCTAAAATCCACATTATTTGTAATGGTTTTATATATCAAATAAGAATAAACATATTTATTTTACAACTAGATTAATTTCATCTGTTATACTACAGCGTTCGGTAACAATTACAATGTTTTACAGCGATAGAAATCGTGTTATCAAAAAGTTGAATTTAAACATCGTACATATGTGCAGAAAATATTGTAAGAAACTTAAATTAATAATTTTACTTAATGTGCATGTATCATCTTTCTTAGGACAATTTTCATTGATTTGTTTATTTATTTATTTTTTTAGCACCAGGCATTCGAATACAATAGAATAGTTTCAATACAAGGAAAAGATCAGAGGCATTCCGAATAAATCGTTCATCTTGCGTTCACCGTTCGTTCACCGTTCACTTTGCGCTCGCGTTTGCGCTCCGTTCGCGTTCTGCGTTCGCTCACCGTTCACCGTTCACACATCGTTCACCAAGTTGCGTTCAGCGTTCACACATCGTTCACTCACCATTCGCTCTGCGTTCGTTCAGCGTTCGTTCACCGTTTGTTCAGCGTTCTTTCACCGTTCAAGTGGGAAAGTAGAACGTTTCATGGACTGTAGCTGTCGCGACCGCTTCCATATTTGTTGATACCCGTCGTCTCTTGTTTTGTTGAGAGGCGGGAGTTGGCACTGTCCGAGATTTGCTAGATATTCTCTTTGGTGGCATGATTATATTTGTTGAATAGGTAACTGAAAGTTCAATAAACTGCATTTGGTTAGTGTACATATTCATAGAAATTGTTCTCTTCCATTGATCACTATAAATAGAAAGCATAGTATATCAACATCCGGTCGCTATAAACAGAAAAATAGAAAATTATCAACCGTTGAAATTCCGGAATACTGATCTGTAACAATACTGTACACTGAATTGATTACGAGCCTCCGATGGCAAAACAGAGAGATTTACAGGAACAAGCCAGTAATTTATTTGATTAGGTGCAGTAAAATGATCCTCAGCGAACCATAAGCAAGGATTTTATTTATTTATTTATTTTTAAATTTTATCCTTTTTTTTAAATTTTGTTTTATTTACTTACTATATTCTTTATATTCGGAAAAATGCGTTAATGCAAACAGAGTAGGATAAGCCTCGGGGAGGCATACAAAATTAAACCATCTCAGGAAACACACAAGTAAATTGTGTTAATTCCAGTGCAATGAGATGAGCCTCAGGGAGGCATACAAAAATAAAACCATCTCTGGAAACACACAAGTAAATTGTGTTAATTCCAGTGCAATGAGATGCATTATATGAGCCTCAGGGAGGCATACAAAAATAAAACGATCTCAGGAAACACACAAGTAAATTGTGTTAATTCCAGTGCAATGAGATGAGTCTCAGGGAGGCATACATAAATAAAACCATCTCAGGAAACACACAAGTAAATTGTGTTAACTCCGGTGCATGAGATGAGCTTCATGGAGGTATACATAAATAAAACCATCTCAGGAAACACACAAGTAAATTGTGCTAATTCCGGTACATGAAATGAGCCTCATGGAGGTATACATGAATAAAACCATCTCAGGAAACACACAAGTAAATTGTGTTAATTCCGGTGCAATGAGATGAGCCTCAGGGAGGCATACAAAAATAAAACCATCTCAGGAAACACACAAGTAAATTGTGTTAATTCCGGTGCAATGAGATGAGCCTCAGGGAGGCATACATAAATAAAACCATCTCAGGAAACACACAAGTAAATTGTGTTAATTCCGGTGCAATGAGATGAGCCTCAGGGAGGCATACATAAATAAAACCATCTCAGGAAACACACAAGTAAATTGTGTTAAATCCGGTGCAATGAGATAAGCCTCAGGGAGGCATACATGAATAAAACCATCTCAGGAAACACACAAGTAAATTGTGTTAATTCCAGTGCAATCAGATGAGCCTGCAGGAGGCGTGAAAGATAACTAAATAAATAAATAATTAAAATCCTCTCAGGGAAATACAAGTAAATTATTGCGATTCTAGTTAAATAGCATTTGCCTAAATTAGGAAAGAATTAAAAACACACAAATTGTATTAATTCAACTCCGATGATTCAGTGCAAATGACATGAGTGAAAGGGAGGCGGAATAAGTTATTAAATTCTCATGAACCATTTAATAAATTGTATCACTCCCGTCAATTAAGCCCTAAAGCCGAAATAAAAGAAATAGCAGTGTGTTTAGGGACTGTTTTTATTATCATTATTTTTTAAATCCATATCAATCCATATTAATTTATACATTTGTACGTTTTTAGATCTATAATATATATATATATATATATATATATATATATATATATATATATATATATATATATATATATATATATATATATATATATATATATATATATATATATATATATATATATATATATATATATATATACTGTATATATATCTATCTATCTAATCAATTTCTTCTTATTTTCTTTTCCTTATTACACACCGTTTTTTATTTATTTATTTATTTTGGTCAAGAGTTTAACTGTTTGTTAACCGAATGAAATCTCAATCGTCAGCACATTCATCGCATTCTAGATAAAATAAGACCACGCAAACTCCGATAGAGATGGACATTACCCTGTTTATTCTGATGGTCGCCGTCTGGAAGAAATTTATGGCTACACGCCTTGCAAATCGGCGATTGGAAAAGGTCATTATGCTCCCAAAAAGAAGCGAATTTGATGTCTTGAAGAGAAGTCTTAAGCAGAGCATTCACTTCGTCTACAATATCATTGTAATGAAAACTTCGGTAACCGTTGAAACGTGGCAATAGTTTGCACACATGAATTTGGGAAACTCCATATCTACGATGGAGTACCGAGACAATAGATTCTAAGTTCCCAGCCAATTCTTCGGGTGAACTGACGCGTCGAACGTCATTACCTCCAACCATCATGATTATTTTATCGGGTTTAACTCGTTCAATGAAATGGGCATCCTCACGGAGAATGCCAGATACAGTGCGACCTCCAGCACCTCTAAAAATTATTTGATGTGTGGCTTGGAGGCTAAGATCTTCATTATATCTATCATTCGCTTCACTTTGAAGAAATTGATGGAAGCGGCGAACAATAGAATGACCCAATATGAGTACATTGTTTGAATCCATGAATGAATATAAAGACAAAATGATCTTACCGCTTAAAATCGCTTAAAAATTTTCCGTGTATAAAATCGCCGGCGTCCTGTAAGAAAGTGAGAACCCACGCTACATCTAAAAAGACGCACCCACAGTTTTCCCGCGAAACGATTCCATTGGTTCTGCCTTGCGACACTGACTTAACTGACCATATAAAAAGATGCCGGCGTAAACTGCAAGCGCGATAACTCCAGCAAACTGGCAAATGTGACAAAATAAATTATCAATATACATGAAGTATTTTAAGAAACCTTAAAATTCTTATATATGTAGAAAAAGTTCCGAACATTTGTTTCATAAAGATGGTAATGCAATGTGCCAAGCAAATCTATTTATAATAACAATACTTTCCATTTAACTGGTTGTAGGCGATAATACCGGGAAAGGGCACTATACCTCTTTGATTGTTATCAAAATTAGCATATTTCCATTATCATTCTTTATTTTCCAAAATTCTTAATGACAATCATATTATAATATGATGATGTGTTCTTGTGTATTTATTGGTTTTTAAATTAGGGAAAAATCAGTATATTTATTTAATTGGGAAGTTTTTATCTTAGATTTAACTAGGCACTTATCATAAAATTAAACTTAATGATCACTAAATGTTATGCCTCGTCAAACAGTATTAAAGAATTCACAAGTACACCTCTTAAAAATTACTTTTGAGTGAATTTTTCACACGTTAAGTATACAATATTTTCTAAACACTTGACACGAGATATAAATCAGAAAAATATGGGGAAAACAACTTCACAGCCTTAGTTATAGATCATATAAATAGCTTGGTTTGTTTTACTTGCACTCAAAACTGCGTTTTTAGGATCAAAACTCGATCAAATCTATTGAATACCAACTGAATGACGATCAGAATTATAGAAATGTCTAAGTGAGTATGATTTAGTTATCTAGTTCGGTAGGATTAAGTTAAGTCTTCCATAACGGTAAAAGGCATATTGATTTTGGCATTATTGTCTCTTCCGTTTGTCTTTCATGAAATCGAACCTTACGCATACTAGTATATCTCGATTCCCTTGATAGGAATTAATTCATACTTTAGCATATTGTTGTCTAGTGTTGTCAACGAGTACGCGGTTAACAGGGTAACCATCGAACGATGCTAGTACCGATTACTAGAACTGCTACTCGGTTACTCGGATATGTAAAATTTTACATTTTAACATGTTTAAATCAGCAGGAAAAATGTAACTTTGTTTTGAAATTTCCTTATTTTATTTACCGTTATTTAACGATAGACTCTACCTAGTGTTTTACAAATACGATCAATTTGTTTTGATAAGTATTTCACAGTTTATCTTATTGGTGGCTTTCATTGCCTAGGGGTATAAGTTTTGAAGGCTTGTGTTAATTATAATAACTTCAAACAAATCTGCGCTAGGCTCTAATACAAGATGAAAGAGGACGCCGCCATATGCATCAAAATAATTTTAAAATGACTGAATTTAAATCCGTTTGTTTGTTTATTTATTCCTTAAGCAATGTGGCTTATCAGATTACATTCTCATTAGACAATTACAAAATACAAAATGTACATACGTAAAATATTTACATACACTTGTTCTAACATAATATTATTTTTGTGCACAATATTTCCAACTAAATATTACAGAAAAAATCCTTAGTTTACGGACATGCTTTCTGTAGGAATTTCCCTATATTTCTTAATTTACTAAGTAAGGTGTTTTGAAATATTCGAAATGGATTTAACATAAACGAGTGGGACAACAAATATGCTAAACCACCTAAGATTGAAATTTAACACTGAAACAAGCGATATATTAAAAAGGACATCCCGCAAAACAGCAAACTATTACGGGATGTTCGAGAAAAAATATTTAGAAGATAATTAATAATGTGAATTTGTAAATAAGAATAAAGTTCATAAGCAGTGCATTTGTGTTTTATATATTCCGGTATACAAATGATAGATTTATATAGAAATGGCAATGACGTTGCATATTATACAAAATGTATTTCAGATACCATTGAACATATAGTCGCCCGCGTGGCGCAGTGGTTAGAGCGCCTGCTCTAGAGTCGCGAAGTAAGGAGCTGATCCTTACGTCGCGGGTTCGAATCCCACTGTGGGACGTGGAGACCGGTCCTTCGGATGAGACCGTATAAACCGAGGTCCCGTGTCGCAGTAGGTGCTGGCACGAAAAAGATCCTTCACTGCTCAATGGCCGTAAGTGCCGAGTATAGGACAAAATTTGCAGCTCTCCACCGGCAAGGGGTGGCGTCTCCATATGAGTGAAAAATTCTCAAGAGGGACGTTAAACAACAAACAAACAAACAAACAAACAAACATTGAACATATATACCGCGAAAGGATGATTTGAGATCTAAAGAAAAACCACCCGAGTAACCGGTTACTCGATCGGAAAAGTAAGCGAGTAACCGGTTACTAAAAATCGTCCGATTTGACAACACCATTATTGTCCACCACCCGTGTCTTGATTTTCACCTAGTCATATTTCTACTGCAATGGCCATTTGTGTAGTCAGATGCTAAGTGGAGTCCAGTCTAAAACTCAAAAAAAAAAAATGATTGGAATTGCTTTAAGCTTTTAATTGAAAAAAAAAAAAACATTAATAATACTTAGTCTATAATTCGATATACATCGAACTCGATACTTCAAGCAAGGCGTGATCTCTTTTTAACAGTTACCGTTTTACCTTTAGAATACAAAAATATCTTTTAATTTTAGATTTACCACGAAATTAATCGGGGCTTTTTTTACGTGTCTCATAACATCCAGCGGAATGCTATCAAAGGTACAGTATAAAATATATATTAAATGATGTTTTGGACATATGATTGTTCTTCATGAATCAATCACAATTAATAATTAGCCAAATGTTATTAGACATTTGTACATTTCACAGTAATTTTATAGTACGTAAAGTCTAACTGGAAGCGGAAAATAATAATGGCTCAGAAATGCTTAGTAAACATTAGTGGCTAGTATACATCATATTTTAGGATGTTGGGACAGATCAATCAGTCAAAGTTTTGGAAAGCATTTTAACGGGCTCTTCCAAAGCTAGGACTGACTTCATGGAAAAGGTCTTGAATCAACTGTTTGAGGAAACACTACTGAGAGTGGAAATGGAAAAGAAATTAAGTCGTATTGAGAAGACGCTTGCAGAATTCAAGATCAATATGGTAGATTTTAGTTTCACTGTTATGAATCTAACCAGTATGATGGATTCAGCACAGAAAGGTACATCTAATTCTTTTAATAATAATTTGAATGGAAGTTAAACAGAGTGAGCAATCATCCGTTCCGTAAATAAGTTTGAAAGTTGTGTATGGGTAATTCAAAGTGCCGATATACAGCATATTTTTGACATTTAATTCGTACGTATATGCGCATACTATTTAGCATGCGCACTGTTTGTCATAAGACAATATGAAAAAACCAGCATTAAAATCCACTTGACCTTGACTTGACTTACTTTTGCAAAAAATATCTCGGGTAGATTAATTAATCTTAGGACTTTTGAATTTTGAGAGGCAGGGTTTAGATAATTAGCATTTATACATGTTTATGAGCTCATGTTAGTGTACTTTGAAACCGTTTGATATTCAGTTACCACACAAAATTATATTTAAATACTATGAAAATACAGCAGGATACAATGGATCGTGTAGACTGAGAATTGCAGTAAAGGACAAACACCACCAAATCTTTTCCCATGGACTTCCATACAAAGCTGAGCCCCTGTCACAAATTCATATATTCAATTTTGGGCAAATGACTTCCTTGCCATGAAAGTTCGAGACCTTGCAAAACAAAACATGCCAGAAAAAATATACCGTGTCGCTGCACTTTCACTTTCAAATTCCATTTGTTTACAACTAGGTGCGTTCAGCACCAAATGAAAATCTCTAACCAAAGTGCATCCCTCCCTTCAAACTTTTACCTGTAACTCCTATATATCTCAAAGAAGCCTAAGTCTTGATATGAGATTTTTATCACCTTTATTTCACTTGTCAAATACATAACAAATCTTTTCTCTTAATGACCAATCATGTGCCGTGTAGCATTTTCTTCTCCGCACAACTTTAGGTGTCCAAAATGTCTGCGCCCATGTATAAGGTTATGTAGGTGTTTTTCCTAAAGACAGATCTGAAATCTCTTTTGAATGACTATTGGAAACACGTTTAGCTCATGAAAAAATACTTTGAAACTGTGTGATACTCAGTTACCACACAAACTTATATTCAAATACCATGAGTAAAGACAAACTGGAATCTCTTTTGGAGGATTGTTGGAAACATGTATTAATGAAAAGACAAATAGGTATTTCTAATAATTTCAATTTCATTATTTATTTGAGGGTTATGGAACTATATTTTCGCTGGTTGTCAGATTCTATTGCAGTCATACTATCCATGGATGCCATTTTTTCTCTGTAGGCAAATGCATAAACTATAAGTCTATTATGCTTATAGTAAATAAAAAAAAATGACCACTCTTAGATTTATTTACACCTTTAACGAACTTACAAAGCAGGCGGCACCTGCATTCCTTGAAACACTCCAGTTAATGATATCTTATGAATTCTTAATTGAAAATTACAAAGATGAAAGTCTAAAATATATAATACAGATGTATTTACACGTTTTAATTTCGATCCGTGTTTTGATGTCGCAAATTTTCAATTCAGTTTTTCTATTCTAAATTTCAGAGAAAAAATTTCGATGTAAGTGTTCATTGACATTCTACCAATTTTCTGGTCAAGCTTTAAGCATATTACATAACTTTGTATAATCATATGACAATCAAACAGAAAGGTAGCTGTTACATTTTAAAATCCACTGGAGGGCAGATAAAAAACAAGTGTGAAAAATTCAAACATTTTTTTACAGGATTTATGATACAAAATAATGATATAGAAATTTTAAAAAAATATATTGCTTAAACACAAATGTATTTGATACACAAAGTTTTGTAAAAAGGCCATCCATATATTACATTCTCCCCGAAACATAAACAGTCATATTTATATTGAAATTCAATATATATATATATATATATATATATATATATATATATATATATATATATATATATATATATATATATATATATATATATATATATATATATATATATATATAAACGCATCTTATGATATATAGACAGGAATGCAAAACAGACAGATAACATATTATCATTTGTACAAATGCCTTGCGATGAAATACTTGACAAAATCACTTTCCAAATATTTACCATTTTTTCCATTTATGTCATGCATTAAGCGCATAGTTGTACTTATCTAAATTTTTATTGTCCTTGACGAATGTTCAAATAATCATAGTTTTGACTTTAGTAGGCAGCATGATAAAAAAAAATCATTCTAGCGGGAGTTCATACCAATACACAGGTATCACGAAATATATGTAATGTACACTCTCTAGAAAGAGAATTATATAAAATAGTTAGAATATACATAATATTCATACCTTCAGTAGATGTTAACCAAATTAATATGTATTTATACATTTATATTGCTTCAGTTATTCAGCATGCATCTGTTTTTGCCTGAGAAGACTGTTCATTGCTGCCTTGCAGTATACTTAGAGAAAGTGTCTTGTCAACAAAATAATACGCTTAGAATACATGTACAAATTAACCAACATACAAGTAGTACATGTATTTAAACTCAGAGTCTTTAAATTATTACTTTGATTAGTAAATTTTTTTATGATGTAGTATCTAAAAATTAATTTTTTTTAGCATTTGAAGTTTTCATTAAATGATTTTGTTGGAAATAATTTTATTTAATTTTCATTTGTAGTCACTGCTAAGGCTTTTCTTTCTTTTAAAAAAGCTATCCAACTTTGATAAAATATTAAATATTTACAACTCGGTAATCTACAAAATTTTGCAGACATTGAGTGTTTATTGACAATAGAATTACACTTTGTGTTTCATAAACATTTCCCAATTTTGTAACACTATTTTAGGTGAAGCTGGAACTACTGGGCAAATGTATATTAAGCAACAACCACTGTGGCCATACGTCCAAACAGTGACATTCCGTGAACCTTTTGCTAAAGAACCTGAAGTTACCTTCGGTTATGCAACACTTGATTCTGATCGTTTGAAGAATGTGCGAGTAAATACATTCGTTCAAAACATCACTAAGAGTGAATTTACACTCACTATCCACACTTGGGCGGATACCATTTTGTATGGAACAAATGTCAGATGGATGGCTTGTGGAAAATAAAAGAAAAATAGGAAAACTTTGCTACAAATCTGACAAAGTTTGAAAAATGTTTTCATTCGAAACTTAAATAAAATTTAAACCATCTTATAAAATCTTTGTATTAATCAAGAAATGAAATATAAAATCAAATTAATCAAGAAAACAAGAGATCAGTCAAAAAATAAATACATATTAAGTGTCAATTCTTTATGGTTACAAAGTAAAATTGTGAACAAGTTCTTTTGGACATACATTTTTAGTCGATCTCTTGTAAGTTTTATTTTTTTTTTTGTTGTTGTTTAACGTCCCTCTTGAGAATTTTTCACTCATATGGGGACTCCACCACTTGCCGGCGGAGGGCTGCAAATTTTGATCTATGCTCGGCACTCAGGGCCATTGAGCAGTGAGGGATCTTTTTCGTGCCAGCACCTACTGCGACACGGGACCTCAGTTTATACGTCTCATCCGAGGGACCGGACTCCACGTTCCACAGTGGGATTCGAACCATCGACGTAAGGATAAACTCCTTACTCCGAGACTCTAGAGCAGACGCTCTGGCACTGCGCCACGTGGGCACTTGCAAGTTTTATATTTGTTGACAAATGAATTTGAAAAGGATTTGTTTTTAAATTTTCTTTTTTTTGAATTTGTTCATATCATTTATGTAAGAATATATTTGTCAATACAGCTGTGTTCCCAATCCCTTTATCCTAAAGTTATATTTTACCTGTTGAGTAAAACATTTTCTTTAATCTGTGTGATGGTTTTTCACAAGAAGGTTGGGGGAATTTTAAAAAAATATATGTTTCGTACAATTCACTATATTCTGTTTGACAAATGAATTAGTATCTGGTTAAATGTAAATGGGACCGAGTATGAAATTCCAAAAACACAACATATACTATAAGAAAAAAACCTCATAAATAATCAGTTATCAATCAAAAAACATATTAAATAAATTGTAGTTCATGATAAAAGTATTGTTAAAAAAATTTAAGGAGTTTGTACAATTTACGTCGGATGCACTTTTTAACGTAAGTTACTCGTAATATGTATTCATTGTAATTAGCTATAGTTTATACAAAACAACTTTTGCTGTACCTTGTAAGTTTGCAGAAGTTGAAGTACCTATTGCTCATTCAACCTTAACTGTTTCCGATTCCTGCAAATTTCCTATCTGATGCGCTCAGTTCTTTTCTTCATATCACGGTTAGGCATTAAATTCATTTCTACAAACGTAAGCAAAATAAGTAAGGTTGATCACCAGTTCTTATAGCGATTTAATCCCAAACTAAAAGCTAAAACATTCAAGATAATAAGCAGCAAATGGTATAGGACGTCCCCATTTTATCCGCTTACCAGTGACCCGTCACTGATCATGTGTGGGAGGTCTTGTATGAGGAAATCTCTTTAATATATTTAATTTATATTTTCCAACATATGTGACATCCTTAAAGATAACGTTTGTTCATGAAAACGGTTTACATAATGATAAGTTTTCGTAAAATGTCAAGAACTACTTTTCGTTGAATAATTACAAAAACTAAGCAGCAAAGGATAGGATACAATATCCTTTTTGCTACTGTCTTACTTTCTAATTTTGAAGCCTGCAAATAAATTCATTATATGTCTCAATATTCCAAAGTCCAACTGCAGGGGACAGATACATGCGTAGATTTAAAAAAAAAACGCCGTTTAATACAATGGAAATATTTTCAAAGTGATAGATTTTGCTTCCCATATGGATATTTTCCATGTTGTGGTTTTTAATCTATTTTTCACTCCTTTCTGACAAAGCATCGTCCACTATCTTGAAAACTTGTTCATTCTTTGCGTGATCTCTGTCTTTTCTGAGGCTATTCTCGGTTATTTCAAGTTATTTCAAGAACTGCTCTATACTCATTAGAAAGAAGGTGTTTATTAGCCGAGTATTTAAATGATCAGTGGCTATAGTTAGAATGGAATATCCGTTGTTAGTTGTGGCTAAAAGATTCATTTTACGTTCATGGAGCATGTCAATTATTTCCACCTCACTTCCGTCTCCTTTATTCTCGACGCCTAGATAATGCGCAGCGGTCCAGCCATGGTTTGTTGTTTTTAGATCTAACAGTCCCCAGTTGGGATCTTGAGAAAATCTCTTAGCTACAAAGTTGCAGATCTTCACCTGCTTATGGATGCATGCGATGTGGAGTAATGTCTTTCCTTCTTCTGTCAGCGAATCGATTTCAATTCTCTTCGTTTTAGGTAATTCTTTAAGAATTTCTAAATTGCCTCCTTTTGCTGCATAGTGTACAGCATTCCATCCATGATCATCCTTGCTTTTAAGAAGTGACTGAAAGTGGCCAATTAGGTATGTGACAGTACTCCCGCATCCATATTCACACGCAATGTGCAGAGTGGTTTTATTCCAGTGCGTTTTGGCTTTGATTAAATCTTCGTGTTTGTTTTTTTAGAAGTTTTAAAACTTCCACATTATTTGACATAGCAGCATAATGAGAAATATTCCATCCACTTGAGTCAACCTTCTCAAAATTTATCTGTCTTTCATTTTCTATTACGTGTCTACAGAAATCGTTTTCTTTCTTCATGCATGCGATGTCTAAAATGGCTAGACCATTCCTCGTTAACCTCGACAAATCAATGTCAGCCTCCTTTAAAACTTCAAGGATCCGTAAATCTCCATTCCATGCAATCCAGTGAAATCCAGTGAAATGGCTCAAATTCACCTGTGCCATTGCTTGCATTTTTTTTATCTTCCTTTACCTTAGAATGATCGAATTCCACCATACTTTTACTAATAATTTTTTTTCCGTGTTGTGTAATTAGATATTAACTTAACTCTTTTTGTTTATATTTTATAGCAAAATGCAGTGCATTTTAACCTCGATGACTCTCATTTTGGAGTTTTGCGGGTCAGTTGTTAGAATTTTTCAATTATTGTGATTGATCCTCCTTGAGCCGCATAATGCAATAACGTACACCCATGAGCATCATGTTGATGAAATATTCTATTTTTCTTTCTCGATCGGTATAACTTTAGATTCTACGAGATATTTTAAACCGACATTAACACCATTGAGACATTGCCTCTTTAAGAGATCAAATAGCTGTGCATCCTCGACAGTGAAGTCGACAAAAATATATCTGCCTATGTCATCTGTAAAAAATAAAAAAAAGGAAAATGTAGAATAGAAAATGCACTTCAGCTGATTTAAGCGACATTTCTCTTTTGAAATCAATGTAAAATAGTTTGTTGAAGTAAATACATGTAACTATCATAATGATTAATAATTAGCAATAAAATACCAGTAGCAATGACAATTAAGTCAGTGATAGCATGCTAACTTTCGTCAGTTTCGTTTTAAATCTCAAAACAATGTCTCAAAGAGAGGCTATACAGTATTATATATATCTTTGTATTTTGGAACGTGTTGATGACCTCTATCGAATATTTAATATCCCCATTACATTACAGTGTACCAGTCTTGAATGTTTAAAATAGGGTTAAAATAATAAGGGGTCTCTACGAATTTTACAGCGGGGAGTATTTTTATTTTCAATAATAGCTTTCATAGATATTGTACTCCAAATGTGTTCCATATATAGGCTAGTAATCAATCCAATCGTTCTTGGTAAAGAAAAAAAACTAATTTTTTGAAACCTGTTTAATCGGTTTCCACCTTCAACTTTCCTTATTTATGTAGTAAATTTCCACTATCACTTGCATATTGTGTGTTTACGTCTTCCAACGTATTCGATACTCAAGAGCATGATCCGAGTAAGATCATATGCTTTAAACTGAAGCAAGCTTCTGACAAATAAGTTGATATATATATATTATAGCGATTCCAGCAATTTCATTTAAAGTCAGCACTTCGTACATTCTAGTTCGTTATAACAAATTTGGTAGCAAAAACAACCTATCATTGGGTCGTATTTTCACTGACAAATTTCATACCACTAGGTAGGCCTTTGTTTTTATACTAAATTTGATTTCGGACTACTCCGTCTATCTGATCAATAAATATGCTCAAGGTGGGTATGACCAAATGACAGGAAATGCTTACTCCTCCTGAACACGCGATCGCACCTCTGGAATTTCTGGGAGTCTGTGGTTTATGCACTGTGAACAGATTTGTATTGCTTGTAGGTATTATTGAGATCAATCACTGTTCTTAATTTTCACCTATTTTATGAAACAGCTAGCATGTTTCAGCTTTGGCTTATATTGTTGAAGAAAAAGGGAGAAAGACATTTACATGTATCAAATGTAGTTTAGTTTTTTTTATAGGACCATGGCTGGAATGACTCTTTATAAATTAAAGCAAGCGTTAGATATATTTTTGACTTTTTTTGATTGATTGATTGTTGTTTTACGTCCAATTCGAGAATTTTTCACTCATATAGAGAAGTCATCATATACCGGTAAAGGGCTTCAAATTTCAACCTTTACTCGGCACTCAGGGCCATTGAGCAGTGAGGGATCTTTATCGTGCAAACGCCTGCCAAGACACGGGGCCTGGGTTTAAAGGTCTTATTCGAAGGACCCGCAACTTTCACCTTAAAGTGCCGAGCGCTTGGCGAAGGAACAATTGCTACCTATTTTTTTTATCGACTTAGGTCAGTCGTAGCAGAGATTCGAACTAACAACCTTCCAATCACGTTTTAAAACTCCTTATACAGGTATTAAATATTTTATAAAACTTTATGTAAATTCTCTTTGGCAAATTTACTGGGATTTCCGTGATACAAATAAACTTTATGCTATAGAAAATAGAATTAACAAAACGTGCGACTTAGGTCTAAAACGTCAAGATGACGTTATTATTTCAAGAATACGTATTGGCCATTCAAAAATTGCCCATGCATACTTGCTTAACCATGAAATTTAACCATAATGTATATCATGTGACTGTCCGTTAACTGTAAGTCATATTCTCTTAAAGTGTTCCGATTTTTCACCTATTCGAAAAAGACTTTTTAATAAAGTCCATTCGATGCCAGAACTATTTGCAAATATCAATGTTCATACAATCTTTAGTGAGGTTATTTATGAGAGACTGGCTATTATAGTAAAATTTAGATATGTTTAAATCCTGTAAAAAAGATTTTG